AAATTGGATTTTTTTTAATGTTCTCATTTTCATAAATAGTTCAAATTATAATTCAAATCTGAATTTTTTACTGCCATCTGCTGTTTGTGCTGACTTGGGACTGGTCAACATAAGTACTGAAGTATTTACAAATATTTGCATGTACTCAAATGAGTATATGCAGCCAAACTCTTAAACTTTTCAAAATTTCTTCATAAAACCTTGTGTAAGCATCAGGCCGGTGCTATTCCTTTGAAATCTTTGATTTTTGTCGTTTCCTAGGTAATGAGAAGTTGGACAAACGTTCGAATTAGGGTTTCATTTTGTGGAGTACAATTGACAACCGTTTTTTGTCAATGAAAGTTTGTGAGCATGGTAGATATTATGCATCTTGCAAGTGGTTAAAATAGGTTCCCACGGCTTGTGGTTGTGCTGGGAAGACACTGAAATGATTAGATGGACATGGTGGAGGTCTTTGTCTGGTGGTACCCTGATTTAGGATGAACATTGTTGAGTGCCTGCTTGATTCGTCTGTTCTGCATTTTGTCAGACTTGAAGATATTTCTAAAAGTGTTTTTTTTTGTACTTTTGACACAGACAAGCAGACATCCTGAATATGTTTCTCCTAGTTACTTCTGTGAAAAACCCCACCTATTTTTAAGCCCATTGGATTTGTTCGCTATCTTTTTATTTAAAAAAACACTTTTTATTTGTTCGCTAGTTCTGCACATTGCCTAAATTGATATCTGTTCTGTCATAGAATGGTTTCAGTTGTTTTTTACAACTCTTAAACAGTATAAAAAGTCAGACACCTTTCTTTAACCTTTTTTAAAAATATAAGTTACAAAAAATATTAGTTTCTTTTTGTTCAAATTGTAATGTTGCAATACTTGAACCAGAAAAGATGTACAAATGTATGGATTAAGAAAAAGGATTGCCATGTGTCACAATGTGTGTATGTATGTTCCCGTCAAAACAGGTTGTGTAAACACATTATGACCCTGTTATTTTGTCATCAGTGTCTGTGAGTGTGGCATCTTTCCTGTGCTGACCATATCATGTGTCTGACAATATCATGTGCAATAGTACCTATATATGTTTAGGAAGCAGTCTGTGAGGCAAAGAAAAGTTAATAACAGGTCTTGTACTTCATCGTAATATTAAACTGATTCAGATCGTGGATAATTCAGGCGTTATGGTTTGCAGACAGCAGCCAAACAAGGTATAAATCTGAACCGTGTGTGGTTATTTTCTTAACTGAGACTGAGAAAAAGGTGCAGACAATTTTACATCTCGGTAACCACAAACATTTGTTTTGGACAATAAAAAAACTGCTGACTATGTTTTCATATTTTTGTGAAATCGATTTTAATTTGCAACCAAATTCTCTTAGTTCACTATTGCTTTCATTTGATAACTAGACTGACTGAATGGTGTGTTTAGATTGGTTGGTTGTTTTGTTGTTTAACACCGCACTCAGCAATATTCCAGCTATATGGCGGCATTCTGTAAATAATCGAGTCTGAACCATACAATCCAGTGATCAGCAGCATGAACATCGATCTACGGAACTGGGATACGATTACACATGTCAACCAGGTCAGCGAGCTGGACCACCCGATCCCATTAGTGGACACTTAAGACAAGCATTGGTTGCTGAAGACCAATTCTAACCGGGATCTTCACGGGTCCTGTTTTGGGGGTTGTCTTATCACTGCCATGAGAAAATGATCACTGTTTGTGTTCTCGTTATTTTGACAGGAATGATGTTCTGATACTATATATTGCCTCCTTTGGGGGAGAATGTGGGCCATCAACGACCTGTTCTTGGATTGAGTGGTCATGCTCAGTGTCTTTGTTGATAGTATGTCATTGTATGGAGGGGCGGTGGGGTAGTCTAGTGGTTAAAGCGTTGGCTCGTCACGCCAAAGACCAAGGTTCGAATCCCCACATGGGTACAACGAGTGAAGCCCATTTCTGGTGTCCCCCGCCGTGATATTGTTGGAATATTGCTAAAAGCGGCGTAAAACCAAACTCAGTCAGTCAGTCAGTCATTGTATGGAAGTTGAGTGGATCTATGTTCATGATTTCAGTCACTGGGTTATTGCACCAAACTTGACAATACAGTCGAGCACCGTTGTCTCCATATTCATGGGACCAAGAAAAAATATCGAGTTATCCGAACTTTGAGACATCCAACCAGGGCATATCGTCACATATCACTATGCAAGAAAACAAAACCCTTATCAGTATGTTTTGATTCGAAACTATAATCCGTTATCAGTCGTGTTTAGTCGTAACAGTGAGTATTTCCTAATTATTTCCTTCTTAATTCATATTAATTACATAACATTCAAGTGACAGCTTCAACTCAATTAGCCCTAATTAGTTTACACTACCGCATCCCTTTGATTCATGCCGCACCGTGTGTAAATGTGTGGAAACAACCTCAGTTCAGAGGGATACTTGCCGATGAAAGGTAGGTGAATATCGAGTTAAAAGGGTAATTTTGCTTGTTGGGTCCATGAAATTATATCGAGATATCCGAAATATTGAGACAACCGTATCGAGTTAAAAGATCTTGAATAATGATAAATTATGAAGGATTTTGCTGGGACCGAGATGTTATATCGAGACAACCGAGATATCGAGTTATCAGAGTTCGACACAACGGTGCTCGACTGTATATATCATTGCTGAGTGTGATTTTACAGACAAGTTTTTGTTGTTGCAGCTATCTAAATTTTGTCAGGTGTGTTATCTTTCTTGCACTTCCTAGATCCAGGCAATTGTGCCTTACCTCTGTCAAATGAGAATGAAATGTAAGTTTGTTCTTAAGCTTGAGTCCCCCTGCCATGATATTGCTGGAATATTGCTATAAGCGGATTAAAATCATACTTGCTCACTCTTAAGCTTGAGGTCAGATTATAATTTTTCATAGCCTTATATTTGTGATGTAGCTTTTGCCCAAGTATAAGTTCTGTGGATGTACAGCTTAATAATCGTGTTGCAGAAAATCTCAACACTCAGCATGTTTACAGTGAACACATATTGGCTTGACAAGCTCATCAATACACATCATTTGTAGATAATTTCCAAGTCAGATAAGTGTTAATGGCTATGTGGTCATGTCAGGATATTGTCAGGATTGGGACGATTCTCTGGAGGAATAGTAGACAACAGTTTACAATGTGTGACAAGAGAGGCTAAACAGAGGACATTGGCATCTGTGTTTGGGCTTCATAATTATGTATGTCATGTGGGAGCCTGCTGCACTGTGCAGACCTTGTACTTTCCAGATAGTTGTGTCCGTTATGAGGGTGCATAATTTACCTGGTCTAATGTGCAGATCGGGGGGTTCCCTGGTCTAATGTGCAGATCAGGGGGTTCCAGAGTGTCGTGTCTGTTTAGAGGGCGCACAAGTGACCTGGTATAACGTGCAGATCGGGGGGTTCCAGACTGTCGTGTCCGTTATGTGGGTGCATAATTTACCTGGTCTAATGTGCAGATCGGGGTTCCAGAGTGTCGTGTCTGTTTAGAGGACGCACAAGTGACCTGGTATAACGTGCAGATCGGGGGGTTCCAGACTGTCGTGTCTGTTATGAGGGTGCATAATTTACCTGGTCTAATGTGCAGATCGGGGGGTTCCAGAGTGTCGTGTCTGTTTAGAGGCGCACAAGTGACCTGGTATAACGTGCAGATCGGGGGGTTCCAGACTGTCGTGTCTGTTATGAGGGTGCATAATTTACCTGGTCTAACGTGCATATCGGGGGGTTCCAGAGTGTCGTGTCTGTTTAGAGGACGCACAAGTGACCTGGTATAACGTGCAGATCGGGGGGTTCCAGACTGTCGTGTCCGTTATGAGGGTGCATAATTTACCTGGTCTAACGTGCAGATCGAGGGGTCCAGAGTATAACATTGCAGATGTTCCAGACTGTCACGGTCTGTTATGAGGGTGCATAATTTACCTGGTCTAACGATGCATATCGGGGGTTCCAGAGTGAGTCTGTTTAGAGGACGTGTGACCTGGTATGCAGAGGGTGCATAATTTACCTGGTCTAACGTGCATATCGGGGGGTTTCAGACAGTTGTATCTGTTATGAGGGTGCACAAGTGACCCTGTCTAAGTGTCTGAGGCACCATAGCTCTCTGTGCAGATCTGCGGGTTCCAGACTGTCATGTCTGTTATGAGGACACACAAGTGACCTGGTAGAACATGCAGATCGGGGGGTTCCAGAGTGTCGTGTCTGGTATGAGGACGCACAAGTGACCTGGTCTAATGTGTCTGAGGCACCATAGTTCACTGTGCAGATCTCGTAATTTCCAGACTGTCGTGTCTGTTATGAAGACGCACAAGTGACCCACTCTAACGTGTCTGAGGCAACACAGCTCACTGTGCAGATCTGGAGGTTCCGGGCAGTTTTGTTTGTTATGAGGCTACATAGTTCACTATGTAGAGATTTTGCAGTCATGAAAGGGCAAACAGGTAACCCAATCTAACATGTCTAAAGGCTTCCAGATAGTTGTAAAGGTTTGGAATATTGTTTGAGTGTTATTCAGTATATCCTGCCGTCATATCAGCAGACATTTCGTTGACCTCTGTAGGTTAATCTGGCATCACATAGTGTATATTAGCACTGACTTTAGATGTATGTAATGCACAGAGCCTAAACATATTGTTGTCTGCAGCTCATGTGGAAATATGGTGACAAATACACTTAAATACTTTTAGATGTGGTATATGATCAACATCGTGGTTAGATACTAAAGCTTTTCAGACTTGTCCCCCAGGGGAATATGATTGGATGAAACCCATGCAGAGAGCTCATGGTACAGTGCAACAGAGAGGGTATATCATATCGTATTCCCTGATGTGTAAGCCGTATCCTGTCATTGGTGCACCAGAGAACATTTCTCTCAGTTTTTCACTCACATCATTCTTAATGTCAGCCCTCTGGAGCTAAGGTCAAGTTCATGAATTGGTATTGACTGACACTGATTTTGTGCCTTGTCTGTTTCAGGTTGAATGGTGACACCAATGATCTTCCATGGGAGTTTACAGTAGAGTCTTTTCCCTCCCTCATCTTCTTTCCAGCCAACAGGTAAGAGCTGCATCAGTAGTAGGGTGTGGATGTGGGAGGGAGTGAGTGGAGCCTGAGAGAGAGAGACTATTGGGAGAGATGATCAAGAGTGTGAGATAGTGGATCAGGAGAGTGAGAGACTGGATCAGGAGGGTGAGAGACTGGATCAGGAGGGTGAGAGACTGGATCAGGAGGGTGAGAGACTGGATCAGGAGGGTGAGAGACTGGATCAGGAGGGTGAGAGACTGGATCAGGAGGGTGAGAGACTGGATCAGGAGGGTGAGAGACTGGATCAGGAGAGACTGGATCAGGAGGGTGAGAGACTGGATCAGGAGGTGAGAGAGACTGGATCAGGAGAGGTGAGAGACTGGATCAGGAGGGTGAGAGACTGGATCAGAGAGTGAGAGACTGAGACTGGATCAGGAGAGTGAGAGACTGGAACAGGAGAGGGTGTGAGAGAGACTGGATCAGGAGAGGGTGAGAGACTGGATCAGGAGGGGTGAGACTGGATCAGGAGAAAGAGTTTGAGAGGACTGAGGACTGGATCAGGATAGTGAGAGACTGGATCAGGATCAGTGAGAGTGAGAGACTGGATCAGGAGGGTGAGAGACTGGATCAGGAGGGTGAGAGACTGGATCAGGAGGGTGAGAGACTGGATCAGGAGAGTGAGAGACTGGATCAGGAGAGTGAGAGACTGGATCAGGAGGGTGAGAGACTGGATCAGGAGGGTGAGAGACTGGATCAGGAGGGTGAGAGACTGGATCAGGAGGGTGAGAGACTGGATCAGGAGAGTGAGAGACTGGATCAGGAGGGTGAGAGACTGGATCAGGAGAGTGAGATAGTGGAGCCTGAGAGTGAATGAGTGGATAGGGAACAATAAAGAAGTTGACATCCATAAAATTCTCTTCCTTACACTTCTAAATGCATTCGGGGCGGTGGGGTAGCCTAGTGGTTAAAGCATTGGCTCGTCACGCCGAAGACCCGGGTTCGAATCCCCACATGGGTACAATGTGTGAAGCCCATTTCTGGTGCTCCCCGCCGTGATGTTGCTGGAATATTGCTAAAAGCGGCGTAGTCAGTCAGTCAGTCAGTCTAAATGCATTCAAAGATATGACTTTTCCACTCTCCTTTTCCACTCACTCACTCTCCTGATACACTATGTCACTCTCCCGATCCCCTATTTCACTCTCTTGTTGACCATGTTGTTTCATTTCACTGCTGAGATACTTATGTTGCAGGAACACTTCTCCTGCTAGCATAAAGTCTCACTTATCATACTTTATTTATAGGGCATTCTACAAAATAGCACTTGCCCCAGTGATTATGATTATTTATTAATCATAATCAGATAACATGGTTTTAGTTAGAAAAATCGCCTGTATTTGTTGATTCTGAAAGTTGGATCAATGCGTTTTCCAATACTTCACCATATTTGGACAAGATGCATGGAAGTATACGTGTTAAAGGTCACTGGTTGTGAGGCTCAGGACTTCCAGGGACATTCCATGTGATTTGTGTGATGATCATATTGTTTTTTTCTGAAAATGTAGACTGTGTTGTTTGTAACAACTTCTTGTAGCTGAATTAAAACAAAAAGATCATCTATTGTAATCAGTGTTCTCAATGACACTCAGTCCTCGAGGTTTGAGCTCAGAGTATCTGTGTATTGTTTGTATTTTCTAAGAATTGACTTGAATAACTGATTGCATTTGTTGAGGTGTAAATGTGAAATTGTTTGCATACTATATCTGTGGATTACATTGATATATTTTGAACATCAACAATGACAACTTTTCAGATTGCTTATTTAACAATAAACTTGCAAAAACAGAAGACAGCATAATGCAATCTCTGACATTGGTCAGTATAAGAGTGCAACACAAGTTGTGCTCACGCTATTGTCATCCAGTAGATAAACAGTTATCTGTTACAGGTGTTTTGGGGGGTTAGATAAAAGATAAACCTTAAAACATTTGTTTGGTTAGGCAGTCAAATTCCCTTAAATCTCGGGTTCGATCCCCGACCGTGTCATACCAAAAGACGTTAAACTATGGTACTTGTTGGTCCCTGCCTGGCGCTCGGCATTAATGGGTACAAGGACTGGTCGGCTCGGAGTCAGTATAATGTGTCTGAGTGGGGTATTCATGCTTCACTGCGGCATGGTATCTCAGTGGGCTAGCACTATAAAACCAGCTTCAGTCTGGGCTAGTACAAGCAGCCGCGCATATACATACAGATGCATGCACGTCGTCATATGAGAGAAATATTCTCAATTACGACGTTAAACCCAATTTCACCTCACCTCACCTCCCTTAAATCTCTTCAGCTAAGGACCACATGAATCCATGCTTAATTCAGCCCTATGAAGATTCGGAGTAGAATTCATCTTTAGTGACCCAAATTCCAGTGAGGCGATTAACGGGACCAGATGGCCAGGCTCCTTGACTTAATAGTCATAATATCAATCACAGGATAGCCTGGTCCATACTCAATTATTTACAGGTCATCATCATTCAGCTGAATATCGCTGAGTGCAGCATTAAACATCAACTTGACAAACAAAATCCTACCTATTTTCAAACCTTGTGCATAATGGATGAAAGATATTCAGTTCTGGATTCCAGAAGGTGGGAGGGTATGAGGGCATTGTCCCCTCTCTTTCTGTCATTGTCAAATCAGTGAGTGAGTGAGTGAGTGAGTGAGTATGGTTTTACAAAGACTTTTAAAAACGGGAGTCAAGGTGACTCACAATATTTATTTTTGGGAGTCATTTTCAATATTTGGGAGTCATTAAAATTTTAATATTTCTTTGTGTTAATCATTCTCAGTATGTAATTGTGTATGTCACACAACCAAATGAAACTACAGCATTGTTCAATTCAAACAGCCAGGATTGCTGTCTCCTCTGAGTTCTCTGGAATAATCTGACAGCTCTGTAAAAGTCAGACTATCATCGAACAATATCATATTTTGCTTATCAAATCGATGTTATTGAACTGAATTGTGAGGGCCACCCATAAAACTTGCGTCAAGTTTGACTCATATGAAAATAGTTCGAGAGTCGTTTACAAAATTGTTCGTCAAATGCGCAGGAATCAAGCGTCATGTAAAACCCTGGAGTGAGTATGGTTTTATGCCACTTTTAATAATATTCCAGCAACATCACGCCAGGGGACACCAGAAATGGCTTTATACATTGTACCCATGTGGGGTATCGAACCCGGGTCTTCAGTGTGATGAGCGAACGCTTTAACTACAAGGCTACCCCACTGCCCAAATCATTTAGTGATGTTAGTTCAAAAATGGTAACATGACTATCAAACTGCAAATCATTTCATCAATTATGTGCATTTATCAAGAATGTTTTATGCTTTTGGCGAGGATGGAAGGATAATAATGCAAACATATTCTTCTTTTCATTTGATTTTTGTCTTGAAGACGCTTTTCAAGATGGCTTTTTATATCTTTCTTGTACTGTTTTACATTTTCAGGATTTGATTGAACATTTCAAATGCAAGTCTTATCTATTTTTAAGATTGTCACTCCCCAAGGCGTGTAGTCAGTTGGTGGGGTCAGTGGCATCGAGGTGTCTGTGTATGTTCTCATCTGTCATTTAGTATATGCAGCGCAGAAAGAAAAAAGAGAATTTATCTTTTAGAAAATGGCTGGGAGATTAATCCTGGAGCCACAAGTACGCTTGAGGAAAGATAAAAGGAGCTTTTTGCTGGGCAAGCTGGCAAGTTCATCAAATTAATGAACTATTACAATGGTCTCTGGAGAATTGAGTTCCACCTTTATGACATTCTTAAGCTGACCTGTGGTTTGAAAGAAAAATGGAAATGGTCATAAATTTGTAGTTTCTTTTTATCATAAGTATTTGATAGTAGCGACTTCTGTTCTGGATACTGGTCAAAGCATCTTTCTTAGGCCACACCAACTTTTAGTTTGTTTCAAATATTTTTTGTAAAATGGAAAAATGTTTTACAGATTGATTTCAAAATAATTTCCTGGGAAAGATTCTCTAAATGTAAATATTTTTTAAAACCACAAAGAATTTTTTATATGTTTTCATATCATGAGTGACCAGTTTGGAGTGTTTAGGAATAATAGGGGTCACAGATGGCCAATTCTGTGTGAAACGCTTGCACATGGTCATTGTATGATTTATAGATTTGGCCTGATTATGTTACTAGATTTGTCAGCATATACCTGTCTTCATGGGACAGTGGGGTAGTCGAGTGGTTAAGGTGTTCGCTCGTCACACCAAAGACCCTTGTTCGATTCCCCAAATAAGCACAATGTATGAAGCCCATTCCTGATGTCCCCGGCCATGGTATTGCTGGAATATTGCTAAAAGCGACGTAAAACTCACTCACTCACTCATTATAGGTTTAACCATAATGGTAAACATCTCAACATGCTTTCTCCCTTCCTCCCTCCTTCACTCACTCTCAGCAAAGTCTTTATTTATGTAAACACACAATGGTAACAGAGATGCCAACATCTACGATTTTATCGTAGTCGCTACGAATTTTAGCCCCAAACTACGCCAATACGATTGCACTAGAAATTCTATGAAATTTGAAGAAAATTCATTAAAATTTGGTTATGGACAAAAAGATATATTTTCGTTGATTAAATACATTTTCGTCAAAAAGAGACCAGAAGAAGAAATATAATGCTGATAATTTGAAATCTGCTGTTGGATGTGTGGGAAATTAATATTAAAGCTTCACTCTTGATTAGTGTCATATTATCTATCTCATGATTATCATCATTTTAAGTATTTAGTTGACTACTAATTTTATGGTCGAACTACTAATTTTGATCCTTGAAACTATTTGCAACAGTTTGGGGTTGGCATCTCTGTGGTAGAAATCAAATTCGAGACAAAAGCAAACATCACCTCAGGCAGTATCACGATATCATGAAATGTGATTGAAGGGTTCTCTTCAGGATGTACCAGCACACATTACTACAAGATTCACAGACCCATTCTCTCCCAGTGTGTAACTACTGTG